CCGATGTGGGGTCGAGTGATGATGAACTAAAAAGAAAAGATAATTATATGGATTGTAAAAGATAGATTCTAGAGAGGTAAACTTTATAAAGCTTTATAGGCTTAATAAACTAAAACGAAGGCAGGACTCAGATACCCCAGCCGGCACCCAACTTTTGTATCTCGCTCCCTGTCCATCTCACAGTTGTAAAGAATATCAAAATGTTCCGTCTTGCTGTGTCGAAATATTTTGGTATACTTTACACACCTTTAGATGAGCAGGGAGCCGAGACTACAATAGGTCAGATCGGCTGAAAGTATCTTTTTCTTGGATTTGGCTGAAACGAGCCACCCGATGGGACTGATTCCTAAAGTCGAACATCGTCTAGCGGTCCATTTCCGTTTCCCAACTCGGGTCAAACGGTTCCTTGTGCACCGGGTCGAGGTTGTTGGGTGCCATTAAGTATTCAAGTCTCCGTCGGCCGTCATTCCGCAGCAGCTGCCGAGGTTCGTGTGAATGGATTCGGCCGTCGATGAGAAACGGGTGATGGAGGGCCTGTTCGACGGACCAGCTGATGGTCCCTGAAAATTGAGTGTTTTTAATGTTTGGTCGAGCTTATTGTCTATCGTTCATTGACAGCAAAGCCGCTCGAAAACCACCTTCTCTGTCCCTAAAATATACTTCGACTCTCCGGGTTAAACATCAACAACCCGCAGCAACAAATCAAGCCCGACGTCGGTGATAATCGGCTCGGCGTGCACTCGAAATCGCCTTCGATTTGGGAGAGCCCTAAACATGAGGTTTTTTTCTCGAAAAATTCGGTCCCTACTTTGGTGCCTGGCGCGTCAAATAGTTTCGCCTGTAGCCTCGTTCGCGTATTTTAGAGCATCGGCGCCGGGGCTTCCGAGGAATTCGATGATTTTGTGAAGCTGGAACGACAATAAAATTAATTTTATTTTTTATAAAAAAAAATAAATATTAAAAAAAAAATAAAAAAAAAAAAAAAAAAAATAATTTATAAAAATTAATTTAAATTTAAAAAAAAAAATAAAAAAAAAAAAAAAAAATTAAAAATAAAAATCAGATATAGGAATTTGACGTCCAATTCTGCAAATTATAGCTCACCTGCTGATACGGCGTGTCCGCTTGGAAGAAAATCTTGCGAAAAGCCAATTCCCCGAAGATACAGCCGACAGACCAAATATCCACGGCGCCCGTGTAACTTCTGGCGCCCATCAAAAGCTCCGGGGCTCGGTAGTACATCGTGACGACCTGGAAATTCGTTTTAACAACACATTTCTATGTTTATAAGGCACCTCATGGCTCATGTTCTGATGTGTCGCCGAATTCCACACTCGAGCCAGCCCAAAATCGCAAATTTTCAGCAGGCAATTGCCATTGACGAGCAGATTGCTAGGTTTGATGTCGCGGTGAAGGATGTTGGGCCGAGTGCAGGTATTTTAGACCTGGAAAGAGATGTTGAAAGGTATTAAAAGCTTCCTTAAACGGCGAAAATACAATAGCTTTGCTAACCTCTCAAAGTTTGATAGAGAAAAAGCTTCGTGTGTTCCAGGGACAGAGCCTGCCTCGAGCTGATTATCTTGTGCAAATCCGTTTCCATCATTTCGGTCAGCACCCAACTAAAAAAAAGTGAATTTTCATGAAAATAATGGGCGATCAGATGAAAAGAAACAAACTCACATGTCCTGAAACATTTGCGGATTCCTCGGGTGCAGAATGTCGCTGAGGGCGAGGACCTAAGCAATTTTGTTGTTCTAAAAATCAAGTAAAAACGTACATTATCATTACAGAAACTGTCCAGCATTCGAACTTCACGGTACGCTCTTTTACACGTCAGCAAATTCAGGAAGACGTGCGGCATCGTTTTCAGCGCCATTTTCGGTTTGTGCGCGGGTCGATGACGGACCTAAAAATTGTGGTTGTTTTTGATGTGACAATATTAATATATTAGGCGATATAGGAAAAGATTTCTAAAAAACGACGACTGACCAAACGGCTCCATATGCTCCACTGCCGATTTGCTTGCAGACGGGTGCATTTTCCTTTCGGGATTGCGGGTCCTGAAAGTAGAAAATTTAGTTTTACTGATAGACTAACAGACAGCCCTATTACGTATCCACAACCGCCCATGGGTTCGGTCCCAATGGCTCCCAGGAAAAGGCGTACTGTACGGGTTTTTGCCTGGGGCGCGAAATAGCAGCATGATTTTAGCTGCGCAGGCTTGCTTTCGCAATGACGCGACGCGTCTATCGCACGCGTTGCGGTCTTTCTTGGTTTCCAATTCTACCGGACGTTTTATTAGGCGCCGGGCCGCTGTGTATCACGTTGAACGGCAACAATGCTTGATTTAATCGCCACAAATTTCTAAAATATGAAATTTTAGAACTTTCTGGTGGTTGGAAAAAAGTTCTGAAATGTGAGAAAAGCCCTTGAAACTTTAAAAATAAAATCTGGGAAGATATCTTTACAAAAATCAAAAGATACCCTCGAAAACCAAAAAAAACTGAAATTCATACCTGACTGGTGGTGGCGTCCATCGGGCCGCGGAAATTCCCTCAATTTTCGGGACAGCCGTCTGTTCGGCGGGGGTCAAAATCGAGACTGCCGGGCGCTGCGAAGAAGCCGTGTTCCGTTTCCGGGCTTTTTGTCGTGAGTGCTGCCAAAGTGCGAGATGGCTCTCGGAGAAAAGCGATTGGGCGCCGGCGGTCCGATATTTGAGCGATCAATATAAGGGCATCATTCGGGCAGCAGCTCCACGTTACCCCCGGGGCACGATTCACAGACGGGCAAGTGCTAGAAATAAAGATACCTTAATGATTTTACTTAGACATTAATAGAGGTATGGTGCAGCAGTAAATATTAGAACTTCTCAACGATAGAAGCAATTCTTTGAATTTGAATAGAGCTTGTTTGGTTTTCTAGTAATCCGAGAAAAATAATGATGTATAATTTAAATAAAAATTTAATCATTGCATTAATACTAGCCCTATGCGCATTTTAATTAGGAAACTGTTAGTTAAAATTTAATTTTTAGATCTAGCTAGTTCTAACGGCACATAACGCTGTTTCCAGAAGGTCATTTAGGGCTTAGAAAATACATAAAATCTAGATAAACCAGTAGTTCGAAACTGTAATCTTGATATCGCAGCATTATAACTTTAAAAATAGCTGTTTTTTTTTGGATACGGATCCGATCTTTCGAAAGGCTTGAAAATCTATTGCGCAGATCCAGACAGATTATAAAGCTGAAGGTTAGGTCGAGGTTGGGCATTCAAATGAGCGCCCCTACACAAGCATACTAACCCCCCACACTGAAGGAATATTCAAATTCGTGCCTAATGTATTAGTGGAATCGTAACATAGAAAAAAAGAAGTCTAAAAGCAAATAAATCAAAATCTATTATGCGTGAAAAATGCTGTGAAACATTTTTCGAAAAGCTGATCGTTGCTCAAAATGCAAAAATAAGTTTTGCTTAGAGACATTGTCAACCAGGTCGATTCGGGTGAGAAGTAAATTAATTCGGGCCTCTTAGACGCCTATTTTTATTTGATGTAAATAAACGACAAAAATTGGGGCAAATATTTATTCAAGACTTTTGGGGTCATATTATCAGCAGACTCCACAAGTTTTCTTGCACGTGCTGATTTTCTGGGCCTCGCTGGCGGTGGTGCTGTTGCAGTACTTGCTGTTATTCTCGTAGAGCGGGCAGCTAAATATGGAATACAACAAATCTAAATAAAGTTGAGGGATATCTTTTCTCAAGACAAACTTGGGGTCAGCATCCTGGCAGGCCGTGTCAAATCCGCATGTCTTACAGCACGATTCGCTTTTCTCAGCTGTCGTGTAGAGTTTTGAGCGGCAGTAGCCATTCTGCAGGTACAGTGCGCAGCTATAAGAGGAGTATCATGGATTAAATTTGGCTACCCATCATTACTTCTAAAATCATTACTTCCAAAAGTCCTTACATCTAAAAGTCTTAGCGTCGATTTGCGAATAAATATGGCCAAACTTGCCGAAATAACTTATAATTCGACGTAGCAACTTTTAGAAGTAACGATTTTGGACGTAACGATTTTAGAAGTAATGATTGTCCCCCCATTAAATCATAGCTGGGCTTACTTCGGATCTTTGTCCTGGCACTCGTTGCCACCCGACTAAAAAAATCTTGCTGTAAATCCGTTTAGATTTCTCATACCAGATCGCAGCACCGGTCGACCTCTTACGATGCAAGTGTAGGGGGCAGGGCATTCGTCGGAGACGCATGCTAAAGCTTGCTTTGACGTGTAGAGGTCAATGGTATGTACAAGGTCGCGTTTCTTCTAACCATAACTATCTACATATCGTCCAATTGGCTTTAAACCTACGTCCAAAAGACTGGGTCAGATAGCAGAAGTCTCCGTATCGCGGATCATTCAGACACACCAAGCCGCTAGAACACTTCCCATCGACCGACGCTGAAGGGTCGGGTTGGAAAATAAGATTATCACCCACGTCCCATGGACAGAGCATCCAAATTCTTATCCACCAACGGGCACACCGCCGACGTCAGCTGGAAAAACCAAGTTAATCTCTCTTCGAAAAAGCCACAGTCTATGAAGCTTGCAAGAACTCACGGCGAGGATAGCGAAAAATACCACCGTATGTAGTGACATGCTATATCGATTTTGGAGCGATTTCAACCAGGCCGCCAGCCACTTTTATAGGAGCGCAAATTCGGCGAGCAGCTTTTTAAATAAGAATTTTCATCGGTCGCCCGCTAACCGAAATGCCAAATTCCTTAACCTGCGCCCCCCGCGGCCGATTTACCCTGGGCCGTCCAGGTGTGCAAAGGCTAGGAAGAACGATGAATTGCGCCATTTACAGTAACTTGTCTCTCAACTTTACTTTCGCATGAAATTCTGTTGGCTTGTGCCTTTCCAATAGTTAAATTGAAACAGTGCAAATATTTGCATGCGAGTACCCGATATTTCAAACGAATTAAATTAAATTTGCTAGGTCCAAATTTGAAAATCGCGAAGTTCCTAAGTTTTTTTTTGAGCTCCCAAAGTCGAAATTCAAAGAATACTCGGTGCTTGGGGTTCCGGTCATCAAATTTTTTACTTCTTTCTCACACTATATTCGAGTAGACCCTTCGAACCCTGATCCTCCCAAAAACTCGCTCTCCCACCGACCACAAATTCAAATCAGCTGGCACAGCCACGTGGGGCAGTTCCGGATGGCTCCTCCTTGCAACGCGCGGAACTTGTTGTGGCGGGGTGTTTGTGATGGTTTTGACTGCGGAATGGAGGGCCGGAATGGATGAGGGCATTCCAAGTTCTTTTCTTTGACTGGTCGATGTTTGCATAGGGTGATCTCCAGCTGTTTGGTGACAATCGGTCCTTCAGGGGATCGGATCCACCGATCCCCAAATTTGCATTGTAAATGGGCGGCCAAAGAACCGGCTTTGTCCCTATAAAAGGGCAGCGGAGTTTCAGGGGCAAGCCAGCTGATATTTGCTAGTTGCCGTAGGAACCTTGAAATGGTATGTTTGAACCTATTTTTCGGTTTTTTTAGATAGCTTCAAAAATTAAAATTTTCCGGCTAAACAAAAGTATAAAAGTTTTTTATTCAATCTAGATATTTTAGCAAAACTAGAAAATTGAAAAACAACTTGGCGAGTTTTTGCCAGATTTTTATCCAGTTTTTGAATCACGTTGTGTGCACATCGGTTTTGCGTTTCAAAAAAATCGCTAAACCAAATTATTCATGTTTTAATAAAAATTATTTAATTTTAGGACTACAAGCTCGTGCTCCTCTTCGCCTTGATGGCCTACATCCAGGTGTCGATGGCCTGCTTCGGCGGATCGCAGGGAAGCTGCGGATGCTCAACGTGCGTTTTGTTTTTATTTTGTGGTTTTATGCCTTTTAACAGACCTATATAATATTTTTTTTAAGACATTTATACCTATTTCTATGTTAGCGCTCCAAAGAACCCAAGGTTTTTCAGCTGCCCCTGCCCCGGAAAATGAGCGTCTCTCGCACCACGCCGTAACTACACAAAGAAGGATCAAACAACCTTATTTCTACGACCCGAATAAACCGCTTTTGACTGGAACCCTTATTGAAATCGGATAATTATAAAACATCTTTGGCTAGTTTATGCAATTGTATATCAACTCATATCACAAAAAATAGAGGCATATTGAAACACCTAATCATCGTCCCCGATCAGCTGGGTGAGCCGCTGGGAGCGGATACTGTGGGCTGCAACATACTGCGGGCAATATTGGTTCGGTAGCCAGCACCCCACTGACCGTAGTTGCCCATATCTCTTTGCAGTCGTAGGGTTTTATCTAAATCTTTGATTTTAAGGGCAAGACACCTTAGCGAAATTACAATACCAAAGAACTCGCCAGGGCGTACATGTTGTTGGCAAAACCACCCAGCTTAAAGTTGGCAAAATCCAACGAGCTCTTATCGGTCCAGGCCTTCAGGGTTTGATCGAAATGATAGTTTGATTATTTCGGTGTCTTAGACAATGCGTTACTTTGCGTGCAATTCCTCAGCCACCCCCTCCAATCCAAGCCGAGCCGCGTTGAAAAGTGCTCAGCACTCCAGAGCAATTCTGTATCCAGGCCATCTCTGACAAAAGGGTTTACTAGCTTGCAATAGAGTAGGGGGCAGAGGGTACAGAGTACAGTTAGAGCGAGATAGCGAGTACCCTGAACTAACTGTAATTTTTTTAAAGGCCTTCTGAGCTCAGGAGCTGGGAAAGCACGATGATGTTCATCTACTTCTGTAGAACAAAATCCAATGTACTCACG